ACTGCCCAACGAAGACCTTTCCAGTTGTCGTGATATGGATTGGGGACGCTCAATCCATGTACCTGTGAACACTGCTTGTGACATAATGTTTGTCGTTGCTGCGCATGGTTCCCTACTTTGTTACAATACCTTTCCCCACGAGGAGCCGATTCTGGTCTGCTCTTACTTCGACAGCGAAACAGTTAGGCATTGGAACACTCACGATCTGGTCTTGGTACAAAACTATGGCAGATAGGTGCGACTAGCAACAATCACCAGTGCAGCCTTACCCAATCTTGTTGTTGCTGTCCCCTACGAAGATTCATGGTCTCGTCGGCGCACTTGCACCGAAATCTGGCAGCACAAGGAAGTGCAGACCCTGTTCTCGGCCTTTGAGGACTTTGACCTGGGTGCCAGCACAGAGGAACGGTTTACAACCATGCGGCCATAAACGCTGGGCTGTATACCCGCATGGGCAAGTGCGAGTACCCCGGAGAAACGGGTGAGAATCGTGCGTGACGCGGCCGCCAAGGAAGGGCAGATCCTCACCGACAGACAACAGCTCTCTCAGCAATACTGGGAACAGGAGCGCCACGGAGGCAAGCGCTCCAAGGATGCAGCTGCTTCCTTTTCCGGTGCCAATCAGGCAAACAACTGGTCCTGACATTCATGGGCCACGACGAGGAATACACTCCTGGTCAAGATCGTCGGCGTAACCAGGTAATACTTCCGATATCGGCCTCGCTTCAGGCACTCTGCCACAAGCAAAGGCCTTCTGTTTGTCCCTTACTGCCCATCGCGGCTGCTCGGAGTATGACCAAACTGTCTTTCAATTCGTGCATATTGGCAGCAAGTACTCACCCTCAAGGTGACAGAGGATGAACTTCCTGAGCGCCGAAAGTTATACCTTTGCGACGTCTTAACACTCAAACCTGAGCATAAAGTCAGCTTGCAGCCAGTTTCACAAGAGTGCTTGACAGGTAATACGCCCGCCACGCGCAGAGCACGCTCGCGCAGCGTTCAATTGAAAAGTTGTAATTGTTGTAGTTGTTGTTCCTGGTGTTGTTGTTGCTGCTGCTGGTGTTGGTGTTGTTGTTGTTGTTGGTGGTGCTGGTGCTGCTGCTTTCAGGTTTGGAGGTTCTCAGAAGAGCAAACCCAAAACAGGCAATAAACGTTAAAATTTACCTAAAGCCTTAAACCTTACGTGCGGCACCACCGCATGTTTAGTGAGCCATGCCATCGTTCTAATTGCCAGCAGTCACCAATCCATACCTGTGGCCTTCCCGCCTCCTATCTACGTTGTGGTGGGACAGCCGGTGTATGTCCTCAACCTTTGATGAAGTGACTGCAGTAGTGTATCACGGTCCAGAGCCCCTGAAGTAAGTATCACCAGCTTGCAAGGACTGAGGATGACAGAGGATGATTTGACTCCCCTTAGACGGGTTTTAGCCTACTTGAATCCGTTGTATGATGTCTTCTGACTCCAATGCTCCGTGACAACCCTACTTAGATCCGAAATTGTAGCCCTTTCTTGGCTACCCTATCGCTTCATATTGCAGCACGAGAAAGGTGACATGCAAGCAACACACCTAAGTGCTGACCTTGTCGTGTATGCCGTTTGTCTAAACACTGGGCCACCTCGACCTTAAGCTCCCTCAACGAACCGCTGCCCTTATGAGTTTCCTTAAAATCAATAGCCTGAAGCTCTTGCCTTGTCGGGGGTTAGGTTTGCATAAGGGCTTTGCAGGGTTGAGGGTTTTCTAGTTTGACGTAGGTTTACGGGGTGTAGAGCTCGGGACCTCTACCAGGGTTTCAGGCTCCTAAGCCCCGAGCTTCTGATACCTTAGCCCCACACTGCGCCCGCAACTAAGCCTTCAATCCTGAGTAATTCAACCCTGAACCCTGACTTCCAGTTTACGACCCGAAACCCAAAGTCCTATCGATGCTGAATAGTGTGAAAACACGCTGCCAGGGCGTACCACATTGGAATTAAGCTCTCAACCTTCAACGACTTCCGAAGAGCGAGCACCCCAAGCTTTTGCTGCACCCAGGAAATGTTCGCCCGGAACGCCAGTAGTGGATGCTTAGCCAAGCTTTATTTCAAGTTGCGACTTTGGGACCTAGGGTTGAGATTCGGGTTCCCTTAAGTCCCCGAAACCACTTCCGAAGCCTTTAAACTTCAACATACCCTAAACTGATCAACCATGTCTTTGACACACCAAATTCATCCTAGACCCCGAACTCCGAAACCCATACACCCCAATTCTGAACTCTAAACTGCCGTAGCCCATACGGCTGCACCAGACATCAATCCAAAGCCGCCGTGGTCCGTGCTATTGTTCAGAAATTTCACCAGAGTTGTCATAACTGTTGAACAACAAAACCCCAACACCCTCAACCCTCCACCGAAACCTTGGGCAGTTTCAGGTGCAGGTCTGAATGAGGTAGCTGTAGTCCCTGTGTTTCCCCAACCCGCTCTGATGACTAGTGGTTATACCCTTGCTGGCAACCTTCCATGGTTTAGGGTTTGACGCGGCAAAATTTTTTTCTTTGTTCTTCTCTAACCACCAAGTGTTAACTTGCGTGAATGCCGTTGTTAAGGCGTTCCAGAGAAACAGCGCCGAAGGAAGCGTTACACACATTGCCAGAGCCCAGTGGCGAATCGCAACATAAGTATGGAAGGCGTGTTAACGCTTCATTCATTTTTATATCTTGTTGTTTTTTGTGGTTTGTGTATTTGGCCTTCCGTGTAAGTATCTGTTTCGGGAATGTATTTCGGGGAATTCCGGATGGGTGGGATGGAGGTCTGAGGCCGGTCTTGAAATAATATTTTGACTGCATTGGCCGAGGTGGTGCTTGTTGTTGCGCCTAATCAACATCTCATGTCGCTTCGGTTGGCGACGCAAAGGCTTGTCTCCTGAACACAGAGATTGCGATAAGTAGGTCCGAGCAACCCTGCAAAACATAATTTGCGAAAGCGGATTCAGCAACTGGCGGGAACAAACGAGCTCGTGAAAATGCTAGTGTTTTCACGAACTCGCAGTCTGAAAAAACGAGTTCGTGAAAAATGAAAAATTTACGAACTCGCGGTCTGCAGAAAAAACGAGCTCGTGAAAAGCGAAAATATTCACAACTCGCGGTCTGGCGAGTCCGTGAAAAACGAAAAAAGCTCACGAACTCGCGGTCTGAAAAAACGAGTTCGTGAAAAACAAAAAATTCACGAACTCGCGGTCTGAGAAAAAAACGAGTTCGTGAAAAACAAAAAAATTCCCGAAGTTCGCGATGCTCACAAAACTGAGAGCTCCAACGCTTGTTTACAACCTTATTCGAGGAGAAAAACACAGAAAACAAGGGCTCTTTGCCTAGGGCTACTCCGGCCTTTGTGCAGATTGTGCCTCGATTAGTTTGGAATGGAGGCCTCTGGAGATGTCTCAGGGCATGGATGGTGGCTAGATTGACTGGAGGCATTCCCCTCGCCATTTGGTGCTTTTGGATGGGAGTGCCACAAGCTCTAGACATCTGCCAAGCGTGTAGTGTAGAGAACGTGAGGCTAAGCCATTTTGTGGATGCCTGCCCGGCGTTCACAGCGTTACGCCGTGGATCGGGCTGCTCGGCCTCGCTTCTGCAGGATACAGATTCCGAAGAAGAACTGCAGCAGAAGGTGCAATCACTCGGCAGGGTAGTTCGTCTCTTGGTGCGCTTGCGCCTGGGTTAGGAATCCTGCGGAAAATCCAAAGAGCCTTGGTTGGATCATGATGTGGTGGCCCTGAGACCCGTCTGGGTAGTGGCGCCCCCACATGACTTTCTGCCCATTCCTCGGAAGGGCCGCCGTCAATGCATCCTATCCTATCCTATCCTATCCTATCCATTTTAGTGACTTCGTGATTTTTTTCGTTTTTCACGAACTCGTTTCTTTCAGACCGCGAGTTCGTGAAATTTTTCGTTTTTCACGAATTCGTTGCTTTTCAGACCGCGAGTTCGTGAATTTTTCTCGTTTAACACGAACTCGTTTTTTTTCAGACCGCGAGTTCGTGATTTTTTCACGATCTCGTTTGTCAAACCGCGTTGCTTGTGAGAATCGCGAGAGCTACGGAGGTGGGGGGGCCTCTCACTTGGAAAGCAATCACGAGCGCTATCGGTTTGGGGATTTTGATGAGGCCTATATACCATCTTGCTTGTAGAAACAAATCGCGGGCGCTACCGCGGATGGGGAGGGGGGGCCATGCTAAAAAAAATGGCGAGCGCTACCGCGGGGGGCGGAGGGATTTACCCGTTGGAAAACAATCACGAGTGCTATCGCTTTGGGGACTTTGGGGCCCGTGCCATCTTTGAAAAAATAACCCTAACCCCCTAAGCCCTGAGCCTAAACCCTAAACCCTGCTACCTACGGCATGTTGGCTCAAGTCCTGACTTTGATTTCCCTTGTCGTGTCGACCCTGAAAAGAGAGAAGGGAACTCCCCAGTCTGTGTTCCGTGTGCGTCGTTTGGTGGTGCATGACGGTCCCGGGTGTTGACGGTGCTGGTGATGCCAACATGGCCGATGAAACTCAACAATTAGGAGAGGAAGGTGAGAGTCCGCTTCACACAGCATCCGGACCAGGGCCGGCAGCAGTGGTGCTCGCCAGGGACGATTTGCAGGTGCCCTGAGAAGAAACACAAGCCTTCCGATAAGAAGAAAGCCCTTGAAGCCCCACCTCTCTTCGGCGGACAATCCGCGGCCTCCAATCCTGCGGCTCCTCATCGCCTCGGACCCACGGAACTTGCACTTAGGTCGACAGGCCCCGAAGTATATCATTGGATCCTCAGCCGGCTCCTGCATGGGTTGGCGAATTAAGGGACATGGTGCAAGGAGGTCAGAAGGAACTTCTCAGTGAACTGCAAATTCACAAGCGGCACATTGGCACATTGCTCAGGTTGCCGATCAGTAAACCACTTGGACCACAGACAGCAGGATTTGGGAAGGGCTCAAGGGGACATGCTCAACAGGCTTTCGCATATGGAGGCTGAGGTAAAGGAACTGCGTGAAAGGTCCAGGTCTGCGAGTCCGGCTCCAAATCGTGGACCCCCAAATCCGGACCAAAGCCCGAGGTCAACGACTGCAAGCACAGGAGGTCCTCCTGTAGTAGACGATTTCCAACTGGTTATCGGCGGGTGGAGGGAAGCTAAGAGAGGCGAGGTGGAGGCTGAGATTAGGGAGATTTTCACCTCCGTTCAGGCGAGCCCCCTGCTTCACAACATTCACATCCCTTTTGCACGCACCAAGTTTGCAAGAGTCGAGTTGTTCTATACAAACTCCAACTTAGCTGAACGTCGAAGAGTGCAGAGCCTGACCTTGGAAGCCCTGAAGGACAAACTCAGAAACTTCCAGAGCAGCATTCCAGGCCAGGCAGAAGCCCAGCTCTGGGCAACCAGGAACCGCTCTAAGGAAGACAGGGAGAAGATTCGGGCGCTCGTGAGCATTAGCAAGTGGGCGGAGCAGCGCCTCGCAAGCATTTTCATCGATTTAGACTGGCGCGGAAGGCTGTGGTTGAGAGGAGAGCAAGTGTTGTTTTGGCACCTGCGACGTAAACCAGGAGACGGAGCCATGATGCTCACCAACGCCATAGGCGACGAAACAGGGTGGTGGGTGGACGTGGACCAGTTAGGCCGGATTCTTTCCCTTGGGCCGGAGCAGGTCCGTAACGAACTCATGAATTGACTATTGGAGCAAGCTGCTGCTCGCCAACCTAGTCAGGACTCGCGTGCAAGTAGAATTCACGAATTTGCGACTGCTACGTGAAATCTGGTAAGCACCTTTCGCAAGTGAAGAACGTCCTCGATAAACTCGAGGACCCCTTTGACCTCCTCTTCTTTCAGGAACTTGGGGTTTTCAACACCTTCCACAGGGTGAAACACATAGTGACACTTTTCAACTTTGCGGCTTGACTTCTCGTCTTTTAGTTCATCAGGCTCCTCTGTCCCACAGGTGCGTCGCTGTGCTTTTTAGGCAGGACGTGGATGTTGAGATTGCAGCCAGACATGTCTTTGGAACGGGGTTAGTGCTGGAGTGTGTTGGCGGTGGTCGTAGGTACTGGTTTGGCACAGCTCACCTGCCGCATCAACAGCGTTAGGATGCCTCTGAGGTCTGGTTGTCCTGCCTAGCTCGTGTGGACGAGATTTTGTCTGCGGCTAGGTACCACGATGTCATTGTTTTCTGGACGCAAGTCAGCATGTCGAATTCAAACCCTTCCTTTCCTGCATCATCCCGAATTCAATTCCTTGCCAGGCACCGCGGACTGGAAGTTAATGAAGCATGTGGGGAAACCTGGGAAGCCCGAGGAGAAGCCAGCACTATTGATTGGTTTATGTACAGATGGCCTATGGCGGAGACTAACTTCCACGTCAGCAAAACCCTGAGGTTGTCTCTCCCCTCTGACCACAACCCTGTAGTTGCATCCTTCATGGGTAGAACAGGGCTGTCGCTGAGACCACCAAGACCCAAACATGGTTGTGGTAGGTGGATCACTTCAGGCCCAGAGCTGGAAGCAGCAGCTAAATATCCTTCCTTTGAATTCAACCAAGACTCCTTTGCTGGACTGTGCAAGCAGTGTTCTAGAAGGGCCCCTAGCTACAGTGACCGTCCTTAGTCGCATGGATTTCATATGGATCCTTGCAGACACTGCGGGGAAGGGTTCGGGGAAGGTCGCATCAACTCTTCCTAGATCCATGCCAGTACTTGGTGTTTGCCATTATTCGTTGAGCTAGGCAGAAGTCATCCTGCCAAGACACTTCGGAACCCTCGATCGACCCTTGAGAGGTTGCTTCTTCCCTAAGTCGCTTCGCACGGCCGAAAGTCGCAGCAGTCCCACGTCACATTGCGGAAATGTAATGTCAAGCCATACAATCCACTTCTTTGATGACATCTTGCAGGCTTGTTTGTGCAGCGTCACCTTGTGGAAATGCATTGTCAAGCCATACAATCCACCGTTTGAAGGACGTCCGCCATGCTCGTTTGCGCAGCGTCACCTTGCAGAAACGTAGTGTCAGGCCATACAATCCGTTACTTTGATGCCGTCTTGCATGCTTGTTGTGCAGCGCCA